CACACACACACACACACACACACACACACACACACACACACACACACACACACAGATTAAAGCGCTCAGCACCTGACCCTAAGGTTCTCAGCTATAAGATACAAACCTTTTGAGGTCAGCTGTCTGGTTGCCAGGGGCGCCTGCTTTTTCCGAGGTGGTGGCTGCAGCACCAGCATTTTTGTCATCCTCCTCGCTGTCAGATCCCCCAGAGGAGCTGCTGTCTGAGGCCACGAGAGGAGCTTTCCTCCCTTCTCCCACTGGCCAAGCACTAGGAGTTGCACTAACCTCTACTGACACACAGACACGCAACAGGCGAGCAAATGTTAGTTTGTTTTGTTACATTTAATCTTTAACCAACTGTAGCAGAGTAGTTGACTGGTGGGCTTGAGTGGATCTCTGAGCTCTGAGAATGCAGACACACACACTCACCGCTCTTCTCATGGTTTTGTTTGGCTTGTTTATCTGCATCTGAGTCCACAGGAGAGCTGCACCTGGGATTGGTCTCTGTGCTGCAAGAAACCAGAGGGGACAGACAGATGATGCTACCAGGCTGAAAAAAAAAAGACAATTGTTCCGACGCAATCTCCACTTTTCAATAAATGAACAGTGGCTTCAGAAAGTCCACTTTTCACGATGTTTTTCGTGTTGTGGATCAAATGACCATTTTTTCCCCCCACACATTAGTCCATGAGGTAAAAGGGAAATCATGCTTTAACATATTTCTTGCAAATGTATTAAAAACAAAACCTCTTATTAGTAAAAGTATTCAGGAACTCATTGAAGCCACTTTGGCAGCAGTTAGAGATGTAGGTCTTCTTGGTTAATTTTCCTGGATTTGTCCAGTTCATTTCATTCCTCCTGGCAGATCCTCTCGAGCTCTGTCAGATTGGTAATGTGTCTGTGAGCCGCCATCTTCGCATCTCTCCTCATTTTTTATGGGGTTTAAATCTGGACTTTGGACAGTCAATGACAGTCTGGGAAAGTCACTCTGGCATTTTCTCGGTCATGCTCGTGCTTGAAGATGAACCGTAGCTCCAGTCTCAAGTTGTGCGCAAGATTTATTCAAGCACCTCTGTATTTGGCTGAACTCATCTTTCCTTGAATTCTGAACAGTCTCTCCATCTCCCTATTTTTGCCAAAAGGTGTTTACCTCTCTGACCTATGTTCAATCAGTTCAGTTTGCCAAAGCTGAATTAACCTGAACATAATTATTGTCACAGCAAAAGGTCTGAACACATTTGTAAAAAACACTTCTGAGATTTCAGTTTTTGATTTTTGATGAGTTTCAAATGAAATATTTTCACTTTTCATTTTGTGTTACTGTTTGTAGATTGGCAAAATGACAACACTTAAAACTAATTCAACCACACAACTAAGTGAACACGAGTCAGAATACTTTCTGAAGCCAGTGTGTTTACCAGACTTTGTTTTGTATTTAAACTCTGATATATTTATTGTTTCAAACTATAACCTAATAGACCTTTTAAACATTACACGTAAGTTCAGACTTGCTTATGTGGATCAACAGGTTTTCTTCTCACCCAGAGAAAGGCTGAAACTCAGTGAAGTTGGCCCAGCCTGTTTCATGTGTCTCCCCTCCGCTCCGATTTGAGCTATCCCACCCTGGTGGGGTCTGGGAGGCTGTCGTTCCTCCAGAGTCCCTGAAAGTCGCTGTCCAGCCTGGACCTGGAGACAAGACAAACCGTGGAGACAAAATAAGACACCAGCCCGTCTTGAAGGGTTGCTTCCAGGCTAACCTGACACGAGTTTGTGTTCTGTGTATGGCTGCTGTCCTCTCATCTACCTGAATCTGATGTGTTTTGCTCTGCGTCTTCGTCCTCATCAGATTCAGATCCGCGGTCCTGCTCCCTGCCTCCGTTCTCCATGCTGCTCCTGGAGCTTCCCTCTGAGGTTTGAGAGACACCAAACCTGGAAGAGATGGAGGAAAAGCAAGCAAAAGATGAGAAAGTTAAAGATTTGTCATGTAAGGAACAGCACTGAGAGCTAAAATGATATCACTAGATTTACCTTGTTCTGGATTTAGCTTGTGTTGCATAGTTGATCTCCTTCTCCTCCCAAATGTCCTCCTCCTCTTCGGCATCGTCAAACTGGCGTATCCTTTCTTTACAGCAGGCTTCAAAGGCAGCGGCATTGGCCTGTGTACAGAAAAAACATTTGATCGTTTTAATTTTATGGTAGTATGGTGTGTTCATTAAAATTAAGAGGAAATAAACAACCCCACCCCATCCAAGTTGTATTACTGTTTGTGCAGCTAAAGCTAACAACAGATAACAAAATGTTTCAGTCATCTGCCATATCCACTAAATGGGGAAAGGCACTGATGAATACCTGAGAAAACAAAAGCCCTATCGTCTGTCTGTTTTGGTTGCACAATGGTCGATGCACTGTTAATCAACGATTCATTAACACTGGATATTTTGAACCAGGGGGCAGACCTACTTGCATAGTGAGAGCGAGGTTAACAGGAACTTAATCTAATGCCAATGGTTTAGATTAGTTCTGAGAAATAACAATCCTAAAGCATAGCATTGCGGCATCAACTTATGATTTACTTCATAATAAGTTAAAGCAAAAACACCTATCTGTTGCTACTTTAAAAACTAGTGCGGCATTGATTATATTATAAGTACAAAAAATGTTATCAAATTATTATATAAGGTGGCCGGAGACGCCTCACGAGCATATGAACAGAAACACAAATGCAAAAGCCACAACACTAATGTAAAAGTGACAATACAACTACAAAACGGAAACACAACCACAACAGAAGTGAGCTCCAACTGACGTCAAATGAGCAGAGTTAGAGTGGCAGCTCAGACAAGCAGCGTCTGGTTTGTCAGGGTTTTGACGGCTCACTTGACAGCGGTAAGTAACTGCTTGTTTCATTGACGACATCAATGCTTGCTGAATTCCTTTGTGGTTGTGTTTCTGTCGCGTGGCTTTTGTGCTGTCACTTTTGCATTTCATGTTTTCCTGAACTGCCTTGACAACGCATTTACCTTTCAGCAGAAGCCTCAGCTGTGGTAGCGACATTTGCAGTAGTAGTTTTATTATAAGTACCAATAATCAAACAATTCTTCAGTGAGAGAGTGAAAGACACAAACACGTGAACTTACACTGTTATCATCAGCATCTAGATTGAAGTTTATTTCAGCGATTCTGTCAAATGTGGCACTGAGGAAAGAAAACAAATGAATGTTCAACAGAATCCAGCAATACAGAATAAAACACATTGATTCAGTGTTGTTTGATGCCGAGCATTTTTCCCTTAAAGGTCAACAACTTGTTTAATACTCGGAGACTTACTTGATATTTTCATCATGCTCATTGAACTCCTCATCATTGAACCCAAACTGATCCACAAAGTTGGCAGTCATCTGTTGGATCTGATAGTCGGAGAAGGCCTGGGAAGGTTAAAAAGAACACATGTTAAGATTATACCATAATGGACAGAAGAGTTTACTGCAGAGGGATGTAAGACATGTTTTATTTAGATAAAAGAGTTGAAGTGTCATTCTGTTTCCTTGGCAGTGAGTGCATCCTACCTGCTGGAGAGAGAGGTCATTGGGGAAGGGGCTCTCCATGTCATCGTCCTCACTGGACGAGTGCATGTTGTGGGTGCTTACCTGCAGGACAAGTGTGGAGGTTTGGTTTAAGTGTTCTTGACATATTTGAAAATCACAGCAATTATGATAATAATAATAATGCTTAAAAATAGGGCTGCAACAACTCATCGAGTAAATTGATTATAAAAATAGTTGGCAACTAATTTGATGATCGATTAGTTGATGCCGTCTCCTCTCAGGAGTAGACGTTTGAAAAATGGCGGAGACAAATGCCGCCAATGATAGAGCAGAGACAAGTCCTTAAAAGTGTGAGAACAAGTCTTCCAAGAAAACTGAAAACAACATCACGATGGAATGAAACTGAGGAGAAAACATGTTGGAGGCTTCTGCCTCTTCTTCTTTCGGTTTACGAGTGGAACGTTAACAACTTAACGTGCATACTGCAATGATGTTGTGCTGCGGTTTAATGTGAAATCCGATTTACACAGGTTTACTTTGAAGTTTTACAGTAAAATGTTCACACACTTTTAACAACTGTCACTTCCCCGATTTAACGAGAGAGGGAGAAGAGGTGGTTGAGAGACCTAAAGGCTGAATGAAGCGAGGGAGCGCCGAAAACAAACACAAAGCAGTGAAACAAAGATACTTAATGTCATTTTCTGATTTTTTCACAGCGGCTATGTTCTAAAGCACAAAAACAACCTGCTGGAAGATACTGCATCGCTAAGTTAATATAGAGACATGAATTCAGCTGAGTGCAGCTGGTCTGCTGTGACTGACAGAGACAGCTCCGGTCACACAGACAGCTCTCTGTATCAGGCACATTCAGCAGGACAAGTAGTTTCAACACTTACAGTGTATAAAGCGTGATTATGCACAATTAACTCAACAGATATCAGCGACGTCATTTTGACTAGTCATGCTTTTCATATAAGATTTATAAAACATCATTCTAAATATTCAAAACCATATCATTGATTCTGTTTTAAATACTCAAAACTCCATTTTAATTCTGACTAGTCATATATACAACGCCAAACTGACTAGTTCAAACTTCATTTAAGGTAATCAGGGCCACTACAGTTAATTAACTGGAAACAATTCTGAGTTTTGATGTATACACTTTAAGATTTATTAAAGGATATTGATAAGAAATGTCTAATACTTTGAGTAACAGCTGCTCTGACTCTGCTCTGATCACAGGGGTAATGCTGTGAGAGAAGATGGAGGTTTGAAGAAATGGCTTTCTTTAGAATGACATCTTTACTTAATGAAGTCTCACCAACTCTACCGTGTTCCTCCTGTTTGTCTCTCTCAGGGTCTCGTCCACAAAGCTCTCCCAGCGGCCTCTGCAGTCCTCTGGCAGCTCTGCGAGAGTAAAACACAGGAGGGATATTAACTGTTACTGAATTTTATCTGAAACAGCCAACTCATCTGGCATCAGGCCGACTGTAATATAAGATTACCTTTTATGAGGTCAGTGATCTGGACCTGTACTGATCCTTTCTCCAGGTTCTGGACCACCATGTTGGCAATTCTGGTCAGATGACCCATGTTGCCTCTCCTGGTGCCTCCCTCTGACCTGAGATTCACAGATACATGCACGATTATTTTCAACCCAGCTACTCTACAGCAAAAACACAATTTCACTTAACACATCACACATCTCACTGCATAATGTTACAAAACAGAGGAAGACAGTATGTTTTTTATTTTAACATTATATTCTTTATTTTTAGCTTTTAACATAACAGAAATAATGTTGTGGTGGGAAATTTGCTATTTAAATATCAATGTGTTAGAGCACATTGCTGGCCAAGTATGTAGAGAGTCTTACTGTATTCTATCATTCTCCTCCCAGGCGTCAAGGATCCTCTGTACCAATCGACACTTCTGGAAGAGCTGAGGGTTCAGGAGAGACACAGAATGAAGGTGAGGAAATAAATGGGGACGTAAATCTAGCAAGAAAAACACGAACAAGCACGAAGCCGTACTGCTCCACTTGTATCTACATCATAGTTAGGTGGACTCAGTTTGTAAAGTTTAGTTTTCTTATGACTGATGGATAGATTCACAGGCTTTTAGGGTGTCATGTGCCGCTGTCAGGGTACAAAGCTGCTTAATCCACCTACATGTGCCACAAGGGCATTGTGGATGGAGGTCTGTGGGTCGACGGTCCTGCCTGTCTCCACGGCCTCCCCCTGCACTTCAGGGTTAGACGCTGCAGGGTTCCCATCGTGGTTCTGGAGACCTGGACCGTGCCGCTCCTCTGAGGAAGGGTGGTTCAGGATCGCTGCCACGCACAGCTCCACTTGGAAGTGCAAAAAATTATTCCAGGAGTATTTGAAGAACAGATCCTATTCAGGGAAAGAGAAATCAAAGGTCACTGACATGCTGCAGACGACCGCATAAAAGACAGAACCCCTGTCAACACCACCCATAAAAAAACACTGCTGCAACATTAGCGTGTGTGATCCTGTCTGCTGAATGGTACACAAAGCTTTATGGCCTTAAATGAATGTGCTGCAGAGGCCACACCCACTGCCCTTTGATTACAGAATGGGATAAGGTAATCAGTGGTTCCCTCCCTCATGACAAACCTTGTGCAAATCTGATGCAACTTTTTCCAGCTATACAAACAGAATCAGCCATAAACTGACCCCAAACACTGTATGAAATGACAAAAAGGAGTTAGAGTTTCCATGTGTAGAGTCAAGTTAAGATGTAGCATACCAGTAGTAGGTCCATGGTAGCAAGATTGCAGAGCTCCTGGCAGATACTGGGGGCATTGGTCTGCAGTAGGGCGGCCACCAGCCGGGCCACATGAAGGCGGGCGTTCCCCAATGGCTGCTCTAGAAGGCCAACGGTCGTCAATATTGCACTTTTCTGTTGATGAAATAGGAAACAGTTTAAATGTTAACTGTGAATTCACCTTCAGCTACAGTACTATTTTCAAAAGTGTGCTGAAATGTGCTCGCTGAATGCACTTAGTTGTCAACCTGCAAAAACTATTATCAGGAATGATATTTTTATCAGTGATTACTTTCACAAAAATACAATCACTCATTCATTATTATTTAAAAAATGTGTTAGTTTAGAGTGAACTTTCTTCATCACTTGGTGCTGCTATGCAGCTTTACCTTGGGGGGATCCATAAGAAGCTGCTGGAAGTCCTTTAAATGGGGCTCAATGGCATTTAAAATACTGCTGTTGACAGTGTAAGACCTTTCGTAACCCTGAGAATACAGATCCATCAGCCCTTCCAACCTGGGAGACACAAGCAGACGGAAACATTAGACTCTTTCCCTGTTCATATATACAGAACAGTATATATATATAAGCAGTATATATACAGTAAAAGCAGAGCTTCAAGCATTTCCTGATACAATACAGAAGAAAATGAAAAGAGGTTTTAATGACACCTGACTTATTGTCTCATTGTTTAGAAGACCTGGGAGGACAAGGACCATGACAAAACCAAAAGCTCCCAACATTGACAGTTTAAACCTGACAGGAAACATTTCAACTCACCCTGACCTCCTGGTCTCCAGTAAGGTAAGTAGCACTTGAGTTCCATTAACGATGGAGGCCTCACTCCTCTCCCCCTCAAATAAGTTCTTGAGGAGCCCCGCCACACTCTCCTGCCTGAAAAGTTCAAAGATGATGATGATGACGACATGCTGATGAGGTTTTGAAGTAAACAAAACCATGTGTCCCATTTAACTGCTATTTACGAGAGCTGTCCAATTATGTGGCAACCTTTACCAACATTAGATGAGCCAAAGGTTTGACTCGTTTTGCCAGTAAACAAATTAAATATGAGGCCATTTTAAAATTCTGCCTCAAATTGGATGTTGCCATGTAAATGTTGGGTTTTTCAGGACACACTCAATCCTAACACGACAGGTTCGATTCTATTTTACTAAACACAAAAAATATATTTTTCCTCTTCAAACTTTAACTATAGGGCCTTGGAAACTTACGACTCTAGTACAGCCAATAGTGGATCAGCCTCCATGCCATCCTGCATCTGATTGGCCTGGTCTCGACTAAGGCGGATGATGTCACAAAGCGTTTGGGACGCATTTGATTGTCTCTGAAAGATAAATTGTTGAGATATTAAATCTACGTCTCCTCTAGGTGAGAGGTTATAATATTATCTTTACCAGATAAAGACATTTACAGCACTGTAACTGGTGGACTCCCAACATGCTTCACACTCACCTCCTCATCTTTACCAGTATGGATAAGCTCTGTCAGTCTCTGTACCAAATTCTCCTCATTCAGCCACTGGAATGGGAAAAAAACATGAACTATATTAGATACTTCCAGGGTACTTACCAAGGGGAGGTACACAAACATATTTAGATCACTTACATGAAGGACCTCCTGCCTCAAGGGGGCAGGCTCCACACAACTGATGAGGCGAAGCAGCAGGTCCATCATGGCAGAGGCATCAATATGTTTCAGCACCAGACCAATGAAACCTTCCTTTTTCTTTAGAAAGGTAATCACCTGGAAAAACAAAAAGTTTTCACACAGCCATACACTACATGTCAAGTCTTAATGTGGTACAGTGCATTAGTCATGCGAGCCATGATCTTTTTCCACTCTACCTGTTCGGTTTTCCTGGCAATGAGGTTGCCGATAGTTTTGCTGAAAAAGCTGGCGAGTAACGGGTTGAGGGGTGGATCCTGCTCCAAGAAGTGGTATAGTATCTCGAGGAGAGACTCCTCCCCGCCCAGCTTATCATTTATAATGGACACATCTGATGTCAGGAGCTCACAAGCAATGTTGGGAAATCTTATAAAGAAAACAGATTGTCAGATCGAGGAGGGGGCTTGGTGCAATTAATAAGATTCTTTCTAAAAGAGGAAGAAGGACATTTAATATATTTAAATCATATACTATTTTTGACTGATTTCTGACTGAACTTGAGGTGCAGGCACTCACTTAAAGCGGCTCCTTTCCTCCAGGTCAGCAGGAGGCTCTGTGGTGATGAGGCTGACCAGCTCCTGCATGCAGTGGTCCTGGCAGAGGAAGAGGAGCAATCGACGGTTTTGGGCCTTGCACTCTTGCAGGACATCATCCTCTTCCATCAGCTCTCTCAGCGTCACGTCCTCCCTGTCCAGCAGCTGATCAATGTGGGAGGTGGTGTGCAGGTCGAACTTCCAAAACATGGTTGCCGCTGGGACGGGGGACACAGCCCTGGATCATAGCACAGCAGAGTGAGAGATGGTAAAGAAACACGCAGGTGGAGAAGGACAAAGGAACACAGGGAGGCCCAGCAGTGTCAAGAAAAAATAAAAGTAAGGGGTAGGTAAAGAGAGTGGATGCCTGGATGAAGAACAAAGCAGGTGAGAGTAAATAATATAAACAAGGATGTAACCTTGCAGATTCAACTTTTCTTTTTATATCACAGACTATGTTTAAATGCATCTGCTTAATATCAAGATTAATTTTGGTCAAAATAAGATGTGAAGATCTCAAACACATGCAGCAGTAATGTGTGACTTTGTATAGATTTTGATCAAAATGAACATTTTAATGATTTTGCAATAGAAACTACATAATTTCTATAGTTCTTTCATGGAAAGAGCCCAGTTTTTTACTTAATGTGTATGTTGTTGCCCAAAAAGTTAAACAACACTGTATAGAAAGATAGTGGTTAAATGCTGGGGGGTCAACTGTGGACCATGGAAATGGAAAATATGCTTCCCTTACAAGCTCCTGAATTCAAACAAGCCACTACATCACCAGCTACATTTCTGTAATTTTTGTTTTGTGCTTTCTGTCTAACAATTTAACCCCGAACTACATCGATATAATGGAAATGGCACCATTTTTTACTAATTCCTTCTCTGTGTCCAGAGCTGTCAGCCATTTCACCAGGCCCATTACACAGATCGCCAAGGCAGGACTGTTGCACCGCTACTCTGCCTTGCTGTTCTGTGTTAAGGTAGTACAGAATGGGGGGCATTGTTGTCTCTGCCTTTAAGCCGTCAGTGGAGGTAGTCACAGAGCCAAATTGACGGCTGTGTAAAAGAAAGAGCCAGCATGACGGGACAGACGCCGACATTGTTGTGTTACACGTCATGCCTCTGATTTCGTAACACTGGCATGCTACCTAAAATTACACACTGGGATAGGCGACGTAGTTTATGTCCGAGTCGTTTCCAAACAAAGCAGAACGGGCTGTCGCATCTTCCCAACGATTTGCTCATGCGATCTGATGATGACGAAGCCTGCAGCAAATCTTCTTATTCTTTTCAAAAGACTAGGCACACTTCGGAGCATTGCTGCCTCCCACTGGTGTAGTTACATCACTGCCACTTTAGTCCAGTGAGTGTTCCACCATTAAGCATGGTATTAGTCCAAATCTAGCGTAATACAATTTCGTACCAATGTACATCTAAATCTAATTCTTGCCCCAGGGGCCTGTATCCTCTGGATTCTTCCACTATTTGCTCAGAATGCTTTTGCTATTTGCTTGATGTTGTACACTATTACAGTAGCTATCCAAGACTTCTTTCTGTCATCACACAGTGGATCATATCTCAACTATTCATGCTAATGGAGGCCTTGATGTTTTGCCATTTTTGTTTTTACACAATATGGGAACCTTTACTTTCCTCTTTGGGACGTGACACCACCCATTATCCAACAATGTTGGACATTGAGGTAGATAAGTATGGAATAATATTCTGTAATCAACTTTTTTAGTTACTTATCAGCTTTTACTCTGTAAAACTTCTGACCAGCAGCAGTCTTCTTTCCATATAACCCCGTGTGTTTCTTGTTGGACAAGTTTTTCAACGTTGTGACATGTGGAGATCTTTAGTCACTAATAAAGCTAAAGCACATACTGAGAATTGAACATATCTATAGGGAACCAAATACTATCTTATTTACAATGATAACATTGACTACAGCCGTCCAAGTAAATGTTGTCAAAAACCATACATCACAAAAGATGAAACATGTTCACACATACCAGTGGATGAAATGTGGATATCTTTAATCAGACCTCCCCCACGGGCAGGCAGGCATTTGTGTTTGTGCAGACGACAGAGAGTGTGGCGAGGCCTGGCATTTATCAGCATGGGTCTCCTCTTAAAATGCAGGCCTCTTTAGGAGATGAGACACGGAGAGGCTCACCATAACCTGCACAACACAAAAAACAGCCGAGATTTATTTAAAAAGATTTTAGAAGAAACAACAGTGGGTTATCATACCATTCAGACATGATTTCAGATCTGAATAAATACTCAGTGTGAGTGTATACAAGAGTTATAATGTCTGTTCTCCACCAAATAGGAGGTTAGGTTGTCCTAATTAAGTGTTCACTATCAGGTGGTGAAGTACAATAACGTGCAAAAGTTTAGACCCTTTAGATGTTTTGGTGCTTGTCCATCATGCAATACCAACAGGGAGACATCTGAGCGCTCCTGAATTCCTGCTGAGCATGACCACAAACATATATAAAGCAAGAGTCCTGATCTCAAAAGTCAAATTGGCATGACATGGAAATAGACGCAATTGAAACAGCATAATTTCACAGAAGAACAGTGACGACAGGTTCTCTGAGATGCTTGGAACAACCTACCAGCCAATTATTCTAAAAAAGCTATGAGTATGTGTATCTAAAAGGATTGGTGCAACTTTTAAAGCAAAGGGTGATAATCCCAGATATTTAATTTATTTTGCCTATTTTTTTTCTGTGCACCCTGTATGAAGTTTGAATGATTTAAAAAAATGAGTAATAGCGTTACTATTGTAAAAGGGCTCTGCAGAAATACATACCAGCTGTATCGATGTTTAAGTTGGGAAACAATCATTAGAGATTATGGCTGGTTCCCAGGCTGACAGTCAAACTTTTCAAAAATGTGACATCATGTGTAATGTGTAACTCATGTGTAATCAGCTCAGCAACCACAAAGGCTTTTAAATACCAGATTATGGTAAATGAAGGATGCATCTTAAATAGTGCAGAACAAATATTTGATGCTTTTTTTTTTACCAAGCAAGTAGGTTTAAATGTTTTTCCTTACATTGTAACTAATTTAGACAACACGCCCGCAGTGACCAAAGAAAACAAAACCACAATTGCATCTGCTGGCTTTGTCAAACCTAACAAGCTTCTCTGAGCAACATGCTATCAACTGTTGATCGTACAAGTAAAGCTCAGGGAGGGTATTAAAAGTGCTTCCTCCTTTTTCTTTTCCTTTTTTCCTGAGGACGGCCGATCCTTGCACATGCAGCAACAGCGTCCATCTGGCATACATTTACAGAGTACACAAGTGCAGTAATAACCCGTTGAACGCTCCCTGTGGACACTGAGCAGGGAAGCAAATGCTTGACTTTACATCCAAAATAGAACCCGCCAGAGGCAATCTCAACAACAACAGTCTACTGGCACATATAACAGACAATGAAAAGAGGAACAATGGCACACATAAAGGGAAAACATGTAGATGTGAATCAACAGCAGCCTGTAATCAGGCAAATTAAAATCTGGTTAAAGGAATTTCCACCTAGGATTTCCACGAGTTCTGCTTTACATACTGGATGCAAATCAAGATGCAACAGTGACAACTGAATGTTTATTGTTTTCTTGTAGATGCGTGCACTAGCAAATGATCAACCATTCTGCAACAGTGCACTTCAGAGGACAAACAAAAGCTTCAGTTTTAGTCAGCCTGTTGCTGCTTACATGCATTTGTCTATTGAAGCAAATTTAAAAGAACAGACCTGCATCTAAAGCTCGATACACAGATGCTGGTGACAAAATATTGATATTGGAATGCCAGTGATTTCACTTGTAATTTGTAGTATTCCTTCACAGATTTCCTGGAGTTTCAGTAAATCCCATTACTGATTATATGACTATGACCTGAAACTTTGAGTAACACCTGCCATACTTCCCTTATGATTTTAGAAAGTAATATGCGTTTCAAAACGACAGCTTTATCAATAATCCTAAATTAAACACCCACTCCCATGTTTATAATATTTTAGCACAGAGGGGGGTCCCCAGGATGTATCTAACAATGAGAGACACACTGGTATGTAGCTAAAGAAATGTAAACTGAGCTGCAGTAGCCTTGGCGTGAAGTGCACATCAACTGACTTGTGGCAGGAGCTCCGATTTCTGTTTACTTCAACTCCAGTGAAGGCACCACTATCAAAGATTAAAGATAAGAGCAAACGATATAAATTAACGATCAGAGATTGAAGTCCCCGTGGTATTAACACGCCTCGCAGTTGTTGTATTTGCACAATGACCCTTTCTTATTTTATCCATCGGTAACTAACGCATAATGACGGCGTGCACTTGATTTAAGTCACTCGGGAGAGAGGCTCGGTTGCTGCTGGCCTCAGTCAGATCCGAATGGCTGCAGCGAACAACACTGCTTACATGGCTAGATTGTTAACTAGTGTGTTATAACGACTATTTCAAGGATATGCAGAATAATGAAGAACACACAAATGGAACAAACAAATGTCGACAGCACTCAACCACAACTGGTTAACGTATCTTAACGAATAGGTTTCGTCAAGAAGTGTTAAGTAATCCAACAACTTAACCAGCTCCTTTAGTGAATTTAGCCTTTTAGGATCGTGATCATTCTCGATCGAGGTTAACTTGCGCTTATTCGGCAGCAACTTCTAAAATCCAGCGATCTGTTCAAACTACGTTAGTTCCTCCTTTACACTGATTAGCACGCAAGCTAATTAGCCACCAATGGTTAACGTGTACAGAGCTGAGGTAGCAAACTTAAATAGCTCCCCAACTTAGGCTCAACTTTGTCGGTACAGCAGCAGAGTAAAACACTAGCTGCTCGCCCAAACTCATGGCGTTCTCCTTGTCCAAAACTTACCTTTGATTGAAAACCCGCGGCTATCCCTCCTGTCTGTTAGTTGGTGGAGTTTTACGTCAAGCAACCAGCTATTAAACCTCCAGCTACCCAGCTAACTATTAGCTTTCAGTGTTAGCTAACACACATTAGCCTGTGTGCGGATAGTGATTTGTTTTGAAGAAGGGGTCAGCCTGCGACAACGCTGGCTACTGTTAGCTAGCTCAACTTAGCTAGCGTTAGCCGAATGTTGCTGTGAAGTCTGCCAAATAGAACAGTTCCCCGACGTCAATGGCTACCCGGCACGAAAAGCGACGCCTGTTATCCCCGATATACGGTGTATGGCTCGTACTCACGCACAAAGTGATTCAAACGCGAGGCTAACTTTAGCATGCAAGGCAGGAAAAACTCAGTCATATTTTTCGAATCAAAATGGCGACATGCTTACGAGAACGCGCAGTGGAGCTCCAGGGGAACGTGCACAGACTTCAGACAGTGAACTGAAAGATGCGACATTAATTCAAAACCTTGTAAAATCAACATTATTTCTCATAATGCTCATAAAGGCGACCGTCTGCTTAGCTGTTATACTTTATCCTCACCATACATCAACTTTAGATGTGTATCCATATTCTACAGTGTGTTATGAGGACGATAAATACCAGGTTGGTGAAAACAGTCATCCATAAAATATACTCAGTTTAATAACAGTACAGTACAATGAGATGCATTGACTTGTAACTATAAAACGTGAGAGGTTAAAGCTTAAAGTTTGCTTTATTTATTTTTTGGGTTTCCCAAATATTAAAGGGCGATCAGCCCCCAAACTGAGGCTAACTTAAACCAGAGTGATTTAAAAATGAGCCTGACCTCTGACCTTTAA